CTGATGCTGATGCTGCTGCTTCTGCTGCTGCTGCTGCTGCTGATGATGATGATGATGATGATGATGATGATGATGATGATGATGATGATGATGATGATGATGATGATGATGATGATGATGATGCTGATGATGATGATGATGATACGATGACGATGCTGATGATGGCTGTGTTAGCACGTTTCATCTCTCGTGAACCTAAGGCCGTCGCGGTGGCGCGTGTTCAGGTTGCCGTCGTTCCGCAACCGCGACTGCTCAAGTCTCTTTTTCTGGAGGGAGAGGCTCTCCACCCGACGCGCTTCGCTGGCATCGGGCTCGGCCCCCCGCTTGCAGGTCGATTCGGCGTGCTGCTCCTGGCGCGCTGGTGGCGGTTCGCGGCCCCCGCGCCGCCGCCCCCGCCCTTGGCACCGCGGGCGCCCGCGGCAGCGGCTGCCCCCTCGCCCCCGCCCCGCTTGTTCCCCGGGCCAGGCGAACGGCGGCGGGCGGCCCTCCCTGGGGGGGGAGGCCGTGTTCGGGGGCCTGTTCCTGCGGGGTGCCGAGCTGGCACGCGGGGCGGCAGCGCTCGGCGCCCCGGCGGCTCGCTGCGCCGCCGCGCGCCGCGCGCCCCTTCCTCCCGTGCTGGCGGACGAGGGCCCTGCGGCGGGCGACTCGCCAGCCTGGCGGCCGCCCCGCGCTGGAGGTCGAGCGCGCTTCTCATCATTGCGGTGGGCGAGGGGATCTGGGTTGAGTATGACGAACTTGGACCGCGGCTCGCCCACGAGCGGATCGTCTTGGGATGCTCCACCCACTCAGTGCAGCACTTCGCGGTGCTCACCCCCGAGGTCAACGTGTACGTCGAGGAGGGCGACGCCGCCAACACCGAAGTGCGCACCTGGCGGAAGGAGTGGCCTGCGGGGATCGCCCCTCGCGGGCGCGTCTATTCCGCGGGCATCAGGAGGTGCGACTTCGCGGGCGCACCAGCCGTGGCCCAGCTGGCACAGTCCTGCGTCGTCGGGGCGGCGAAGCCCGTGGAGCCCGATGGCCGTCGCGGTGCTGCTGTTGGTGCTTAGAGCGGTTGGGCTCGGGGTGCCGGGGGTACCCCCTATGCCGTCGTCGACGCTGGAGGAGGGCCTGGGCCCCTTGGCTGCGGCATCGCCGCGGGCGCGCCCGCCACCATGGGCGCCGCGGGCGCCGCGGCGGCCCCCGCTGGCGCCCCCGCCGCGCCTCCCGCCGCCGCGGCGCCCGACGCTGGCGGCGCACTCGCGGGCTTGGCCGCCCTGGTCGCTGGGCCTCCCCCTGACGGGCCAGCTCCTGCTCTCGCTGCTGCGGATCCGCCCCCGGACGGCCCACCGAGGGAGAACGCGGGGGGCCTCCGCACGCTGCCGACGGCGCTCGATCTTCGAGGCCAGCGGCATCTCGAGTTCTCGGACTGGCCCGTCCCAGGGCCCACCGCCTACCACTGGGCGGCGGCGTACCAGGTGGGGGATGGGCGGTCTCCTCCGGGCCATCCCCTTGCCTGGAAGGCTGGCCTGGGCGCTGGCGTCCTCCCCGACGACCCCTTCGTCTGGGCACTCCAAGATCAGGCAGGCGGCACAGTCGTACAACCAGATCGACGGCTCCAACGTTGCACGCCTGGAGCTCGTGGCGCGGCAGCTGCTGCCGCGCGAGGAGCGGTACAAGGATGAGCTCGTCAGCTCGCCCTCGCCAGGACCTGGGGGACACGAACTATTCTTCTTCA